ACCTTTCGCTTACTAAGCGAATTCTCTGCCCCCTAAGCTAAGAAGGCCGGCGACCCGTCTCGACACAGGCAATCCCAGTCCAAGATGGGCGTAATGCAGCTTCGATGCTCTCGATTCTCAGATGGAGATGGGTCTGGAACCCAGAGTCCCCGGTTCCGTAGAGCGATGCCATATCCATCAGGCCACATCGCCAACGAGTGCGTGCTGATAGTGGTCAGTTGATGCCCACGGCCGTCAATAACGTAGCCGAAACTGAGTGACGTCGTCAGGTTCCCCGAAATTGACAGCAAACTCAACGTTATCTTGCTCTTGAACTATTCGACCAGCATTTTCGGCTTGGAACTACCGTTAGACTATCTAGACAGCAGGGATTCACGACTGTCACTTTGCGAGTTCTACCATTTTGGATTTATCCGAATTATCGTTCCTCAAATCGCATCAACCGAGACCCGGTGCATTTGTCGATAACTGACACAGCGTGTTCGGATAGCATCCGAATCGTCCGCGTGACTGGCGGACTGTACTTTCCCAGGCATCGGTCCCTTTGCGTAGCCGCTCGGTCCTAGCCGAACAGATGAACACCGAGACGACGGACAGAATCCACGTGATACCACACCACCACTAGAAGAGGGTCGACGAATCGAAGATGTATCTGCCGGCGGTGTCCGGTCTTCGGCCACACTTGCGACATGCCTCAGAATGACCAGTGGATGATAGTCCAAGATGGGCCGTCTTTTTCCCTCTACACTGGCCCTGTAGACAATTTCTCTCCAGATTTCTACTTCACGATAGTGGTGGCGTTGGCATTTGTGGATGATGCGGCAACCACAGTCCAAGATGGCAATAACATTGGTTGTTTGATCTAGTGGTATCGTTCTTCTTCAGTCCATCTTTGATCTAGTGGTATGATTCTAGTGGTATCGTTCTTCTTCTTCAGTGGTATCTTTCTTGGTTGTTTGATCTAGTGGTATCGTTCTTCTTCTAGTGGTATCGTGGTATCGTGAACCAGTGCAACGGTTTCACCGTTGTACGCGCAGCCGTGCTCCTCGGCGTTTCCGCGGCAACCGCAGATTCGCGATCCGTTGCACTGAAACATTGGACGACCTGGGTATCGATCCCAGTACCTCTCGCATGCGAAGCGAACGCTCTACCATTTGAGCTAGACGCCCAAATTACCCAAGCCGGTACGCGCAACGGTTTCACCGTGGTACGCGGAGCCGTGCTCCTCAGCGTTTCCGCGGCAACCGCAGATTCGCGATCCGTTACACTGAAACATTGGACGACCTGGGTATCGATCCCAGTA